CCATTGTTTATGATGTAGACACCATCCGATGTTGAAAGTGGGGGTGTTATTACCACTCCGTCATAAAAAACCTCACCATTCTGTCGAAGATTATAATCATGGTGATTGTAATGGAACGTGACTTCTCTCATCAGCGACACTCTGTTTGATGGTTTATCTTTTCTGTTGATTCCAGTGACAACGAAATCCTCAAGATCTGTTCTATTGACACATTTCCTGACCAATGTGTATTCACATTCACCCTGGAAGTCGAATTTGACATTGTCGAAAGTGATATAGTGTGGATCACCCCAAGCGGTACAGAAACCAGGGCCTGTCGAATAAGAAAAATAGAATTGTTAAATCCCCATTGTATAAATGGTATACGATTTTTTAAATACATTTCACTTTTAATTACTGTACCTCTGGTGCACTCTTGGCCGTCTCCTTCAAAGCCATTCTGACAGTAGCAGCCACGAATTCCGTTTCGTATAGAACATTCGGCGTTTTCACTACAACCGTAACTTTGACAAGAAACGACGCCGCTGGAACAGACACAACTATTTTCACATGTGCTGTCTACCCAACGTTGTTCTGGCTGTGAATACAAATCACAAAAATTTACATTAAAATAAAAATAAAACTGAATACTTCCATGTAAGCCTCTGTTATCGTTTGATACGCTAAGTACGACTATTCTAGTAAATTTTGAGTAAACACTATTCTAGTACATACCTGGTAGTAAACACCATCCCACGTGCATCCGCATTGAGACGGTTGAACACACGTGTTACCGTTAAGCAGTGTACCTTCTGGACATTCACAAGCTTCAATACATGCATTTGGACAATCATCCATGCCTTCCATCGATGCACATGTAGCCGGACAAGCACTTGCACAAAGATTGTACACTTTGTTGCCATCGCACGTGATTGCTGAAGAAAACCAATTGCAATCGTATTATGTCAATCAATTCACGCACTATTCACTTTTCAACTTAACGGTAAAGGTGGAATTGTAATACTTACAACAACGTGGCGATTCTTTTCTCCAATCGCCGGGTTCTCCACCGCGTTCTCGGCATGTTTGAGCATATTCAGCTAGCGTCTCACACAGCAGATCGTCGTCTGGCAACGTGGCACACAAGTCGTAAACACATCCATCGTAATAGTCTGCCGGATCAACGAACGAATGACATGAAGCAAGAGCTCCATCTTGGGAGATCAGAGCATAACACAAATCCCTGGCTTCCTCTAAAGTTTCGGTGCCTTCTTGGCACGGTTCTACATCGACGACATCTTCACATTCATCCGACTCGAATTTCCAGCTGTTTCCAAACTCCGCAGCACTTCTTGCCTAAAAGAAACGTAAACACGGAAAATGCTAAATATTCATTTCATAACTTGCTAAATACTTTATAATGTTGACATAGTTTTTTAACTATTTATTTCTTCGAAAGTATCCACAATTACATATTATGTTAGTAACTACTCACATCTAAACCGTCAGATCTCAGAGCAATATCGTCGGAGCCGTCACCATTGAAGTTACCACATAATCCGCAAACTGAATCCCAGTAATTGAACGGTAATTGTGTTTCTAGGGTGTGGTGACCATCCCATCGTAGCACCAAAGAAAAGTTTGTCCACAAGGCCTGTAAAATGAGATAATGTTGTTTTTACCAAATTGCCATGTATACGTAATCACATTTAAAAAAAACACAATGTCTGTTTTCAGTTTGTTTTAAACAAAAGTATTACTGTACTTACAGTATATTGGCCATTGTTTATGATGTAGACACCATCCGATGTTGAAAGTGGGGGTGTTATTATCACTCCGTCATAGAAAACCACACCATTCTGTCGAAGATTATAATCATGGTGATTGTAATGGAACGTGACTTCTCTCATCAGCGACACTCTGTTTGATGGTTTATCTTTTCTGTTGATTCCAGTGACAACGAAATCCTCAAGATCTGTTCTATTATCACATTTCCTGACCAATGTGTATTCACATTCACCCTGGAAGTCGAATTTGACATTGTCGAAAGTGATATAGTGTGGATCACCCCAAGCGGTACAGAAACCAGGGCCTGTCGAATAAGAAAAATACAATTGTTAAATCCCAATTGTCTAAATGGTATACGATTTTTTAAATACATTTCACTTTGAATTACTGTACCTCTGGTGCACTCCTGGCCGTCTCCTTCAAAGCCATTCTGACAGTAGCAGCCACGAATTCCGTTTCGTATAGAACATTCGGCGTTTTCACTACAACCGTAACTTTGACAAGAAACGACGCCGCTGGAACAGACACAACTATTTTCACATGTGCTGTCTACCCAACGTTGTTCTGGCTGTGAATACAAATCACAAATGATATCTTGAAATGTAAGTCTTGTTTAATCCAGTGTATTACGGCCTTAACGGCCCCAACAGGACATGTTTCGGCAGTCTACTACCATCGTCAGTTATCGTATTGCACGCAGGCAATCATTAGTATAGAGGAGTAAAAAAATTTAATGTTTTGCATGCTAAAAAATTGTGGAATGAACCGTAACATTACTACAAAACATAATATAAATAAAGATGAGGTAAAATCAGTGTACAGTATCTATGCCACAAAGGGGAGAATGCAATGAATTTAGGACGACAAAGATAAATAAACATGAAGAAGCTGTTTGTTCAATGAGGGCTGCTCCCACTGAATATGGAAGGCCTCTTTATTTTTGAGAATTTGGGTTGTAAAGGCGGAGTTCAGTATGGTGAAGCAGTCCTCATTGGCTTATTGTTTACAATGACACGAACTCTTCAAATGCTTTATTTATGAAGTCCTAAAATGTGTTTTAGTATTTGATTTCACTTTTAATGTATTCAAATAGACAAAATAATGTCTCTTCCAGTGTAGCACACATGTATTCTTCGGCAAATAATTATTTTTTACGTTCATAATGTCAGTTATGCCCTTTTGCCGTGGGTTTTCAGATTCAAGTCATGTTGACAAACTTTGGCAAAAGGTTTAGCAAAAGGATATAAGTGCACAGTTTAGTATCTTTCAAGACAATTTGAAGCCAGATTATTAAAAAATAACATTCAGTATATAAAGTCTATGTTAGTCATGAATAAAATATTAAATAAATGTACAATAATACCAAAGAAACGCATTAAATAAATACTAAAATTAAAAACGAATTAAAAGCCCATGTATACCAAATATACAAAGTAGGAAGATAATCAACAATGGTATGCTATGATGTATCAACAAAGAATTTTTTGGCTCAGAGTGCTAGATTGAGGACCTTATAGGTTGGGGGTCCTTCGGGATCCCTATGGGTCAGGACTCTATGGACTGTCGCACAAGAGCGCATAGGCGTTACACCACTGCGTGAAGGATGCGTGTGTAGGTGTATGTGAAATAGAGCTGTTGTTTAGTTAGAATATAATATGCGTGTGATTGTTTCTAAGTGTACGTTGAACAAGCATTACAATTATTTTGTATAAATTGATTTATAATTTTATTTACAAAGTAAGATAATAAATGTATTTAGTCATATAATTAAAATATCAATTATTATTATTATTATTATAATTATTAGCAATTCTTTACTATGATCTGAAGTCAAGTAATAATATCAAATGATTACAAATATTGTTTTTATAGGTTATATAAGAAAATATTTAGAAAATATATTATATATATAGATTTACAGTAGATAGTTTTAGTTGTTCGCTTAGTGAACACAGTTGACTCTAGTCAACTGTGTAGTATACAACAGTATATAACAGTAAGAATAATGGAAAATAATAAAACTTAACAAGCAACATTCATTGTAACTCGCTTCTGATTGGTTGGCTGTTGATAAAACGTCACGCTTCAGTGCATCACAGCCTATCTTTGCAGTTATACCCTTCTGCCTTGGGAATTTGCTGAAAATTGTGTAGTTAAATGCCCATTTGCCATGCTCTTATTCAGCCTGGGGGACACTTTTTTACAATTTATTTTTTGTGTCAACAAGTGTAACACAAAGTATTGACCCCACTAGGCTATATAATGTAACTCATTTTTAATATGTAAGCCATACCTGACGATAGATCATAGATGAGTCCAGACAACCACATGATGAAGTGTCAATACATTGACCATTATCTAACACTGTTCCGTCTGGGCATTCACATACCTCTTCACAACTCAATGGACAATTAGATGAGAAAGGTAGGCAAGTATCTGGACAACTACTTCCGCAGGGATTGTATATCTTGCCATCTTCGCACTTAAATGCTTTGGGTAAATAATAAAGAAACTGATAAAATACTATAAATATATACTATAAAATAATAATATACTTACAATAAGTCGATTGCGTAAATGTGGGGTCAGTGGCGTAAATGGGGGATCAATGGTAAATTCCATTAGGCCTTACGTTTATGGGATCATTCTCCATGTTATTACCGTCGACGTGTTCATTTTAAGTTTTTTCATTGTTACCACTATTACACTGTTCTTAAAAATAACCGTCATATTTCATACCCCCTAAAACCTTCTACCATGTAAAAATTCAGTTGAGTGTGTTATTCATAAAAATGACACAATTAAGTTATTATTTGTTTGTTAGTTATTTAGAAGCGTGTTCATTAGTTTCAAATTACAACAGAAAAAATGGAAAGTTAAAATCACAAGGATTATAGGTCGTTTTAAATGTTGCCTGACACTTACATGTCCCCCATATTCACGTTGGGGTCTGCAATAACAAAAGAATACAATTGCACAAACTTTTCTAAAATTAATTACTTATTATCTGACTACACTAAATTTGTCATGTCTTTCTTAGTTTTCACGCAAAATATTTTTTCAAGTCAAGGAAAAATAACATAATTTATTTTTCATAGTGACAAAATGGGAATCACATGTTGGTGTCTCCTCAACACATGAAATATATTTACAATTAAATGATATTTTAAGAGTATATGTGATTCTTTTACTGTAGCCTAAAAAGATTGAATATGTCATCCTTATTTTTTAGGGTATAAGTACGAAAGGATATATTTTATGTCAAAAAAGTTGTACAATTGCTATGGTAAATTATATAGTTCACACTAACATAATTAGAAACAGAACATATGTGTGATAAATGTGTTTTGCTTACGGCACTTATCAAGTTCAGATCTCCAGTTGCCAAGTTGGACATTATTGTTCAAACACGCCTGTGCGTATGTTTCCAAGCTATCACACAACGTCCCAGTATCTGGTAACGTAGCACATAAATCGTAGACACAACCCTCATAATAATTGGTGGGATCTACAATAGCATGGCATTGAGAAAAGGCGCCAACTGGTGAAATAATGATGCTGCATTCGTCGACTGCCGTTCGATAAGTGTCAGAGGATTCGTCACAAGGATTGATATCCAATGCAGCACAATCTTTTGTATCCACTAACCAACTGTTAGCAAAATCAGCTGGACTTCTTGACTGTTGAATGATTGTACAAAGTAAATAGTTTAGACTTGCATGGCGAAGTATAATATATAATTAATGCTAACAACTATGCCATTGTTTTTGGCTTTCCTTCCCCCAGCTAGAACAATGCCACTGTCTTGGCTTTCTAGCCACGCCCCGCCCTTCTATTCAGACCGTAAATTTTAGCTTTTGTATAGCTTTTCACTGGTAGGCTCAGCCTTTGTTTAGTTTTCAACCAATCAGCAGCAAGTCTCATCACTAAAACATATAAGTATTTCCCTGTTTGAGATCTCTGCAGATATTATTCTCCTGAAGACGGTTGAAGCAAGTCAACCGAAACGTCGAGATATTCTCAACCAACAACAACAGTTCTTTTCAGAACTATCTACGTGGTGTACCGCAAGCATTAATTATATAGTCTAGACTTACTATGCTGAATATTGTTTCCATTATGTGTTTTTCAAAAAACAAACAAAACCCAATACACCTTTTTTTTTTGAAAAATAAAAAGCAGTAAAAGTTCGCCTTTCTTAATGTTATGATTATTTTGCCGATTTCAGGCTCAAAATTTTCTTATTTTGTTCTTATTTTCCCAATTTTCAAACATAAAATATTATTATTGTACAGCAGTATATTATTGTACTGTATGACATAGGGTATTACATAGTAACATCTACTGAAAATAAGGTACAGATACTGTAACATTTGTCGGTTTTTATATTTTTTTTTCCTTATCTGACATTTTTACCTCAGCCTCAATTTGTTTATATTTAGTTCTCAAATTTTAAGCAATTTTAGTCTCAGTGTTATAAAATGTGTTCTTATAAAAAAAAGTGTACTTAACAAGTGGATACTGAAGGAGTAGTACAGGGCTGTAAAGTAGAAGTAATTTATTCGAATGCTACACTTTTTAACAGCGGCACACTAAAAAATTGTGAAGGTGCATCCAAAAAAATTACACAGTTATGAAACATAATACAAAGCAACTGATATGCATATACAAGTAAGTCAAAATAGAAACAACCAACCAATGATAATAAGGAATCCAAAAAATAAAAAAGAACGTGTTTATTGGATGAAATAGTTATTATTGGTATTACTGTTAAATTGTTCTTAAACATTTAAATTTATTCCAACACTCAGGTACTAAAATGAAACAAATGAGTGCAAACATACAAAGTAATCCAACAAAGATTAAACTAATAAATTTAAATTGAAAATTGTAACGAAAAGTAAAGAAATAATGCAGTTACAAGAAACTCAAAACTGTCCTCCGGAATTGTGGCAAAGGATAACCAACCATTCAAATTAGTCCCTTTGCCAGGCGTTATATAGCCTATATAATGGCCTTATATATTCTACAAGATGGCTTTACATTATCAAGTATATTCTTCACTGACATGATGTAATGCCACTGAATTTTTAAAACTTACTTGAAAGCCGTCAGACCTTTTAAATAAGTCATTAGAAGAAATTCCGTTAAAATCTCCACAAAGTCCACATGTGCTGTTTCCAAAATCAAAAGGAACACGTATTTCTACCCGGCTCTGTCCATTCCATCTTATAGAAAGGCCAAAATCAGTCCATAATATCTATGTAGAAACAACCAATGATAATATTCTAGACACGATGATCATCTTAAATTTGTACACCCATATTATGCTCAAAGAAATTCTCTTAAATATTCTGTGTTTTATATGTTTCCACGCGCTTGGGAGGAACTAATTGTAGTAACTAGGGATTTTTTTAGTTTTAAATCTTAAAATATTTCTAAACTATCTTAAATTATATTTTATAATAAGTTTTATAGTTTTTATATAACTATTGTCAAAGCAAATTTCATTGGTAATTTAATTTTAAAGATTTTAAGTTTACTTTAATTATTTAAGTATAACCGTAATAGCGCACTAGGAGACCTATTTAGTAGTGATTTGGCATCCTTTCTCGGCATGTTTCTGATATCTTATGCGTGTACTATGTTGTCTTTAACCGGTTGTTGATTTATGTAATTTACTGACACAAAATAAATGAAATGAAATTAAATAATATATGTGCATGCAATTCTGAATTGTTCACAGTAAAGTCCAGAATACGAGCTAATAGTACCAATAATAATTATTTTTATTGAATTTCTGTTCCGTCATCACCATTATCATCATCATTAGTTTTTTTGTTTTACATGTTATTGTAATATAAACCTGGATACGTACCACATTTACTCCATTATCTACAATATTAACACCATTGGATGAATTATACGGCGTTGCAATTATTACGTCATTAAACGTAACAATTCTTTGTTTTTTAAGCTTATATATATCGTCCATGAAATGGAAAACTATTTGTTGTAAGTATGCAACATTGTCAGATGGTACACGTTTGGAATTAACAGCTGTCACTTCAAAAGATGGCTTTCCGATGACGTCACTACAGTTCTTTACTAGAATATATTCACATTCTCCCTGGAAATCGTATTTTTGACCATCGAAAGTAATGTAATGAGGGTCGCCCCATATTGTACATAATCCAGCAGCTTCGAAAAAGAAAATGACAATTCTATTAATGTATATGATTATGAGTTCGGCATTTGTGTTGTTTCATTTAAAATACAACTCACATTATAAATTTATTTTAAAAAACCCGGAACTAATCTATATTTTCTTGCCAATAGTATGAATAAATGTATGAAAAATTAACGAACAGGCCTAATGAAATCACTCAATCAATCGATCAATCAATCAAGCAGTCAATAAATAAATCAATCAATCAATCAATTAATCAAGTAGGCCTTATCGATTCAGGAAATGGCTGACTGATTATTATCTAATTTGTGTATGGAGAAAATGTTTATTACAATTTACCATCCAAACGCCTGCACAAAGCTGGAAGAAATATATCATAGCAACATCCTTTTAGGCATCTTACCTTCAGGGGAATTTTTTAGTTTATATTTAAGTCAATTAAAAGATGGTAACATAAAAACTTTACACTAACACAAATCTACAGGTTAATTGACTAGGAGTTGTTCAAATTACGTAAGTTGGCCTACCAGTACAGTGAAAGGTAGCAGAGTATAGGTACCACTAAAGTGAACGCACCATCACTGCAGTGGGTGCCAGACAAAGACGTTTATGTTTACTAAATAACGGAATAGGTCTATATATAAATGACTATATTAACCCCAAATGTTAACACCCAAAATATAATTGAATGAAGTTTAAAAAAAACCTTAAGAAAAATGATGTCCAAATCTGTCTGTTAAAATTTTAATAAAAATGTTTGTCTTTCATTTGCGAGGTCTCTCTATAATTAAAGACTTATATTTCATATTAGACCTAGATAATAATCTTGCAATGACTGGCCAACTTTTCTTCAGGTAGACTGTTTATCTAAACATTGTGATAGTGACAGCCTTGTAAGTGTTGATAAGAATGAACATCACAGAGGGTTCAAGATAAGGCCTACCTTTGGTACAAGTGATACCGTCTCCACTAAATCCACTATTACAGTAGCAATCCCTGACGCCATTTTGAACTTGACAAGATGAATGCTGACCGCAATTGTAGTTTTCACAGGAATTTGTACCGTTCGTACAAGAGCATTTTTGGCTACAGTCTTCACTCAAATACACATCTCCTTGCTAACAAAGAAAACCCCAATTATACGTACATCTGAATTATATGTTTAATAATATTTAAATCACCTAATGTAATAATACTATACAATAATCCAATCTGTACTCGTCCCTTGATGTTAAGTTAGAATCACTGTCTGTATTAGTTTGTTTCCTTTAAAACTACTCGTATTTCATTATTGCGTTTTTTTCTATATGTTGGAGTAAAGTACATAATGTATCTATTGATGTTTCATTTATATATTATTTTAAAGTAAACTACTATACCTTGTAATATACACCATCCATAACGCATCCACATTGTGAGATATCAACACAATCGTCACCATCCAATACTGTACCGACTGGACAATCACAGGTGTCAATACAGGTGAATGGACAACCATCTTCCATCTGGTTAAGGGTAGCGCATGTCAATGGGCAAGCACTACCACATTCATTATATTCCTTTCCATTTGGACAGGTGGAGGCTAAGGAGAGAACATGTATTATAACGGTTGTTTTTTAAACTTCAATTCAATTATATATTGTCATCATGCCATGACTACGCGGACGTGGTCTTTTATCTCTGTACCCTCAAATGTATTAAATTATGTATTTTAAGGGAAGCAATGATAATATTATCGATACACTCAGCAAGCATCTTGACCTTGATCTTGTTGGGGCAATGTCAACAATTCTCAAGCAGACATCTAGTGCACTTCATTTTTCATTTCCATTTACTGTAATGTCATTTGCATCATGAAAAATACATCGAAAATGTTTTTGCTCTGAGACACTATTAAATAAAATACAAAACTAACAACACAAAATATATCTAGAGAGTACATATCCCTCTCATACAATACTGTACCGTTAACTAGCATTAAGTGCCATAACGGCTGCTGGATAGAGGTTGTTTCAGCAACTCTTTGTACGAGTAGTTATATGGCGATAGCGTCTGCCACTACGAAGAATGAGTTATATTTTGCAAAAGAATTAGTTTTCTTCCTTAGCATATTACCAAAAATGGATTCAATAGAGCTCTGCTCTATTCCAGTTATTTGTGCTTTTTTAATACTCATATTTTTCTACAAATCAGACAGTTTAAAATCATAAAAAACCCAACAAAATACTCTATATTTCTATATTATAGGCCTACACTACTAAACAATTTAAAGATGTCATATAAAATGTGTGAACCTACAGCAGCCTGACTCTGCCCGCCAGTCACCGAGTTCTAGTCCAGCATCTTTACAAGCCTGTGCGTAAACGTCAAGCAAGGAACACAAAAGACTGTCGTCGAGGGTTGCACATAAGTCATATAAGCAAGAGGTGTAATAAAACTCTGGATCTAGCACTTGATTGCATTCAGAAAATGCACCTATTACACAGTTGAAACAATTATAAAAGTGTTTATAAAGAATATATATTGTACATTACATTGTTTATATCTTTCTTAGACTATTTTGTTCCATTGTTAGTCTTTGTTTTTGATAATGTCTTCTTCATTCATTTGATTCCATCAATATCGTGCAGAATACACAATTTCTTTATCCATTAGAGGGTCTGCCTCGCTGTTATTTATAATATTTAATTGGTGTCCAGTTAGTGCTCTTGGTGTATCTGTTATTCCTTCTTCTTATTCTATTGCCCACCTAACTTTATCGTCATAATTCTATGGTGATCTATTTTTGCATGTGAATAGACCAAGTCATTGACTTTTTCATCCTTTTCATTGTAACGTATATATTTACTTCTAATTTATATAGAAAATATATATATTATGTAGACGTATAATTATATGAGTGTATGTATGCCACAATTGCATCTGATAATATAATAAACATTGTACCTAATACTTTATTACCTGTGTGAGTTAGGTCTCCATTTCTTCTGAATGGAACATTCCATCGTCATTTGAACCAATGAAAAGATTGTATTAGGTTGAGATGTGCAATGGGACAAAGTGGATGAAAATAACTTTTCATGAGTGACGAAATGGTGTAAAAAGAACAATGTCACGTGATACGAAATCCACCATGAAATAACTCGGATCTATTTAGGTGTGTTATAGTAAATTAAATCTAACTTACCATTGTTATCTGTCAATACCATGCACATCGCTTTAGCCATATCTTGAAATCCTGAAGAAGCACACGGATCTAGATCCAATACGCCGGTAGGACAGTCACCCTCTCCTGGAACTATCCAACTCTCAGCAAAAACATTGGTATATGGGGTCTGAAATGACGAAATAGTGTCTTACGATGAATGTTTCGAGTACTTATTCTTTTCATTTTGGGTAGAGTTCAGCCAACCTCGGATTTATTTCTACAACTCTAAAGCTTTAGTTTCACTATGCAATGTTCAACAACGGAGATGCAATGTATAAACCATCTTTTTCCCCAAGATCTTAAACAGGGCTGCTAATTACTTTATCGCTTTTTTGGGTGTATTTTTATAAATGAGTTATACATCTAATAATATAGGCGTACCGTATATATATCGTAATAAGTGTCATATTTTCTGTATTATTATTAGTACCTGTTCGCCATTTAACAAGGTATAGTCATTTCCAGGATTGTTATCAAAGTTGCCGCACAGACCGCATACGTTTCCAGACAGACCAACATCCACTTGCACTTCAACAGAATGTCTACCATCCCAACGTAAAACCAGGTTGAAGTCAGTCACCAAAGTCTGCAAGTTTCCAATGGTTGTTAGTAAATATATGAACTGGAGTTATGTACCTAACTTGATTTTTATTATTTGTCTAATATTAGACCTAATATATAAAATGACAAATGGCGGTAGTGTAGTTGGTTAAGACGAATTGGATAAGATGAATTCGAGTACATTATAAACTATTTAAACGGTCTACTTCAAAATAATTGTTTGCAAAAAATAGAAAAAAATTACTTGGGTTTCAAAAATAAATTGAATAAAATATTGGCAAAAATATATATGTATCCTTAGGATGTGCACTAAATTGAAATACATATGAATGTTACTCTAAAAATTGGCAAGGCCATTTTATTCTACGTTTATTCTATCCCAATTAATATGCATTTATCATAATGAGCCAATTATTCAATAAGAGCAAAATAGGTATCCTGACGAGAAAGTATAATTTGAGAATAAAAAATTATAAGACAAAGAGTAACAAATTTAGATTAGAACAAGTTATCAGCGTTTGGCGAATTGGTATGGTTCCTGCCTCTTGCACGCCAGGGCCCACGTTCGATACCCGGCTCTGTGACGAGTATCGAATTTCGGTTTTTTATAACAACAAAAAAACTTGAATAACCCTCTCAAGAGAGTAAGGCTAGTTAAGGACCATGTTTGTATCAGTCTGTGTCCGTTTGATGTCTATTTAAGATGGAGGCTACTTATTAGCCACTATTCAAAACGACCAGGTGGCTATCTTGCCTCTACAGGTTGTATACCGAAACTTCATAAAATAGTTATAGTATCACTTTATAGAGGTTATATTTTTTCATTAATCTTTGTATATACCATAAAGGATACAATATACTACACAGCACTAACATATAAAATAAACGTTAATACAAAAGGTCATATCTTACTGTGTATACACCCGAATTGATAATAAACATATTCTGACTCTCGTAAGGCAAATTGATCGCTATGCCATTGAACGTTACAGCGCCACCACTTCCTAAAACAAATTCCTGCAATACAGTAACAGAAACAATGAGCATTACATTTCACAATACAGTATTTCACCATATTGATATCTTAATCGTATAACGTAAAACCTCGAAAAGAAGCCCTGGGCTTCTTTTATTTTATTTCTTTATTTTTTTTGCAAACTTTAAATGGACTTGGAGATGGGCTTCTTTTCAAAACTACTTTTGCAAAGTAAGAGGGGGCTTCTTTTCAAAATGAATACTGTAGATTTCGGAAGTTACTACTATAAAACAATAAATAGGGCCCTGTGGCATCAGTCTGTATCATAATACAATGCTGTATTTTTACTTTATTTCGTTCCTTTGAAATTCATGTAGTGTATGTACTGTACTATCTCAAAAAGAAGCCCACGCTATCTTAAGAGGAAGTCCATGGGCTTCTTTTCGAGATGGGTTCCTTTTCAAAACTACTTTAGCAAACTAAAGAAGGGGCAGTGGTGCAGCTAGGTTGTGAGGGGTCCTGGTTCAATAGCACAGTCGGGGTCCCTGACGCATTCAAATTGACTGACCGTGTCAAATAAGATGTGTACCACTGATATATTAAGAGCATTGGTTCCTCCGATTTTGTTTTATTTATATTATTTCGACAATAAATCTTTCGATTTTTTTAATTTTTAATTTTTAGATGTTCTCAGAGGGCATCTTTGAAGAGCTAGCTATTGGCTGGACTGACCATAATGATAAGCTTTTTTACTTCTTAGGGCCAAAAAAAAAAGAACATCAGATTTCTACTGAATTGGTGTTTTATTTATTAAATGAACAATGTAAACAATTATCTTGTATACTTTATTTGTTTTTATGCTTAAGCTAAATAAAATGAAATTGATCACACCTCATATTAGACTTACATGTATATACTACCGTGATCACTACTACCGTAAAACACTTATCCGCGATCAACATGGCAGCCAAAACACCTTTTAATAAATGTTGTTCATTTAAAAACACATGCACGAGTACCGTAAAATTCGAAAAATCCAAATCAGATTATGTTTTATCAGTTGAAAGCAAATATAAACACGATCCCAAACGTTTGGGGTGAAATTATGCCGAGCCGAGTTGTCATGTAATCGTGATTCTTAGTTTTAAATAGAGATATCTCCATTTTAATAGATATCCCAAATTGTATTGGAAAGTATAATACATACTCCAAGTATTAAATGCACGCCATCGTGTAGGATTTCAATATTTCGACACGAATGTCATCGTCAGGAATATGATTGTTATTCACACACTAAATTTTACGGGAAAATAATCTGGCATGTTTATCTGAAAATAGTAATCTTGATGTTAATAATTTTGATACTAGGCTACTCAGACTTGAATCACACTATATCGCAAAATTGCTATGTTTCATTAAATAAATCATTTATTAATGGTATGGTTCCAAACGATTGTAAGTCTCAATGGCTAGCCCATATACAAAGGTAATGGTAACAAATAAAGGGCTAATAAATAGACCAATCTCAGTAGTATGCCATATAGTTAAAATTGTTGCAAGTCTAAGATCTCAATGAAAATGACTGTATACATGTTGACTAATACCTTCACCGTGGCTCAAGTGCACTTTAAAGAACCCAGTACATTTTTCTAGACGAGTAGGGGTCCCCCCGATGCAATGGTTAATACAGCCCTGTTGAGGACAGACAAGAGATAGCTGGTACCGGTTTACCGGGTAGCTCAGACACCCGAAGAGACCCTTAGGGGAGCGGCAAGTTATTGTATGAGCTAGTTCAAGCCTCGAGCATTTTGAGACTTCGGTATAAAACTCTATATAAATCTAACTACATTACATTTATATTTCAGCTTTATCATGTAACATTACAACTATTTTGTCCTTACAAATAAAAGAAGGATAAAACTTTAAAACGATGTCTTACGTTCGTGTCAACCGTCACTACTACATCTTTGAGATAAGCAACTGACGCTAAAGGTGACTGTTTATAATTCCTGCTAATGACTGAAAAGTTTGCGATGGCATCAGAATCTGGACATGGTGTTGTAAGTGTATAGTCACAATCGCCTTGATAATCGTATCGCTTATCGTCAAATGTGATGTAATGCGGATCTCCCCAGACGGTACATCTACCAAGACCTAA